CCTCTAAAGGCTACAGAGTTTCTCCTTCCACAACATAAGTATCCCAACCCACAGTTTCCTATCTAGGCGTCATCCTCCAGGGAAACCAAAAATTGCTCCCTGTGGCAAAACTCCAGGAAATCCGGCGCCTGCCCCCTTCCTCCACAAAACAGGATCTCTCCTTCCTTGGACTAGTCAACTATTTCAGACTTTGAATACCTGGTTTTTCCACTCCTCTCCAAGCTCCTATATAAATTAACGAGAGGAAATCTCTACGAACCCATTGACCCAAACTCCTTTCCCTACAATCCTTCCAACACTCACACAGCGCTTTGGCCGCAGCGCCCTCTTTAGCCCTGCCCGACCCTTCCCAGCCCTTTTTCCTCTTTTATTCCGAAAGACAGGTGTGCCCTGGGGGTCCTTACTCAAGGACCCCCTCCTGCCCCACCCCCACCCCAGGGTCCTCACCCCGTAGCCTTCCTCACAAAACAGCCAGATCTTACCGTCCAGGGAGGGCCAGCTTGCCTGCGGGCTGCGGCAGCAGCTGCTACCCTGATACATTAGAAGCCTTTAAAGTTATTCTCCGTGCCCCCGTAACCATGTACTCCTCATCATCTTCCAAACTTAATAACTTCTCTCTCCTCCCTCCTTATTGCCCCTAGACTCTGACAACTCTTTGCTCTATTTTGTGGAACCCCCATCTTCACCATTAAACCTGGCCCTGATTTCAACCCAGCAATGTCTCTCGAGCCCCTCCCGGTTCCCGCATATGCACACGATTGCTCTGAACTTCTCCAGCTCCCTCTGTCACCGTTTCCTCATGTTTCTGTTTCCCCTCTCCACTCCCCAAACACACCTGGTATATGCACAGTAGCTCCTTTAAAGGAACTCAACCATCCCCTCCCCGAGCCAGCTACGCTGTCGTCTCTGTCACCCCCCACCGCCTCTCAACAAGCTCATTGCCTTAACCCACGCCCTAACCTTAGCCTGTGGTAAAAGAATCAACTTACACACTGATTCCAAACAAGCTTATCACGTCCTACACCGCCATGCTGCCATCTGGGCTGAACGTGGTTCCTACCACGCAGGGAAATCCTATTATCAGTGGCCCTTACATCCCCAAACTCCTTCACGCTGCTACCCTTCGTAAAGAAGCAGGAATCGTCAGATCCTATAAGCCGGGCAACCCGTTCGCTGACCTCACAGCCCACCAGGCTGCCCGGACACTTCAAGGCCAGTTCTCTCCCTTCCTGCCTCTCCCCCATCCTATTCCAGCTCTGAAAATAAAAAATACCAACACCTCCCCAGCCGTGACAGCTGGTTTCTCGGCCACTGCCGCCTCGTAACTTGCTGCTTCACAAACAAACACCATCCTACCAAACCTCCATGACTCCTTTCATGTTGGTTACAAACCTCTTAGCCGCCTACTGCAATCTCTTTTCCAGCCTAGAAAACACACTTAACAGTCACTTCCAGTGCTCGACGTGTCGGTCCTCCTCTGCCCAGGGAGCCCTTCCCCCTCCCCACTTTCCTACCCACCGAGCCCGTGGTTTTTCGCCCGGCCAGGACCGGCCAATCGACTTTACTGATACGCCCCCCTGTCCGCAAATTTAAATACCTCCCAGTCTGGAGAGACACTTTTACCCAGTGGGTTGAAGCCTGTCCCACCAGAACTGACAAGGCAGTGGGCGTCATCAGCACCCTTCTCCAGGATGTTGTCCCCCGTTTTGGATGCGCATCCTCAATCCAATCAGACAATGGGCCTGCCTTTATTAGTCACATCACTCGGGGTATGACATTCCAGAGAGCCGCCAGTCCCCTTGCCCACCAATGTGATGGACGACTTGGCCAGAAAAACTAGTTCTAGTAAAAGACCTCACCCCACGCCCTCTCAAGCCGAGGCGGGGCGGCCCCTTTCGGGTCCTTTTCAGTGTTCCCACAGCGGTCCTCCTGGGAAAACCAGGCCGGTGGGTCCACCGATCTCAGCTGAAGCTTCCCTCCATGGCCGAGCCTCAGCCCGACCATCCTGGGCGGAAATCGCAGGTGCTCCCCCAACCTCCCTAAAACTCACGAAAATCCTAGAATAACCTTCACGAGCTCTCCTTTCCTCTTGCTGAGATTTCAAGTCTTCCTGATTGACATTCGCCGGGATCTAACATGATTTAAGCCCAGACACTAGATAGCAATGGCCTTGACTGGATCGGCGACCTGTGCTGGCAAGGAACTTGCAGGACTGCTGCTCGGAAGTCTCATTCTTTCCTTTCACTCTCATTCCTGTACTCACGCTGCCTCTTCTGTAACCTGTGTCCTTACCCGCTCCCCGCTGCCAAAACCCAAAACTGCCGCTGGGGCCGCTCTTCAATCTACAGCCCTTCTTGATTAGTCCAGCTGCTCCTTGTGCACAGGTGGCTATGAAAACCTCCAGGCTACACCTCTTCCCTTCCAATTCTGGGTGACCTTAAACTTCACCTTCCTCCCCACACAGCCCTACATGAAATCCTACCCTGCACACCCCTCCCCACAAAAACGGCTCTTTCAACAAATGAAAGACAGTCTGTTCCATCGGCCACAACTGGCACCTAGAGCTCTCCTGCATTGTCACGCAGGCCCGACTCCAGCCCTGCACTCATTTGCTTTGAAAGTTACTCAACCCATTCTGGACCTTTCTTAGGCAATTTATCATTTGCACGTATGTAACCACACCATTATTACGAAACACAGATCTGACCAAGAAGTCCCCCCCCAACCTCCCATCCTTACCTGCAGCTCTCGATACAAAACAGCAAAACCCCCTTTTAACCTACAAAATACAACCTAAGTGGAACGCTCCCCCCACCGTGGCGACATCGGCCTTTTGCCAAGGCCGCCCCACCCCCCTCTCCTCATTTTTCCCTTATCTCACAAAATCCTCCTCATGGTGCTAGTTTGTAGACCACCCGACCAATGACAGCCTCAGGCTTCACCTTAACCTCTCTTCCTATGATCTGCTCCCTGAACCCCCTCCAAATGATAAAGATCCACTGATCACCATGCTCGGGGCAGCCCAAGACCTTCCTATTAAAACCAAACTCACCAACAAACCTCTCTGGTAGAACTCGCCCTTTGGAACAAAGATCCCGCCAGAACCAGCCCACCTTACATAGCAGGTTACGTGACCGCGGGACTCAACACGAGGCATTCACTTCACGCGACACCTCAGTCCTCAGTCTTGCCGCCCCTGTGGAAAGGACGCTGCACCCTGATATTCCGTGCCCCTCCCATCTATGGAGGGCCTGCCAGTCTGTACTTGCTGACCCTGTTTCTTTCCCTCCTGCGCCAAAAGCAGAAACGAGCTGTGGCGGCCACTGCCAGTACAGGACTCACACTCCTGGCCACCTCAGGCCTCCTTGTCGGGGACACCATGCACCTTTAGCAAATGCCACAGCGCACCACAGAGGCCCCGGCAGCTCTGACCAGCACAGTCCACTCGCCCGGGTCAGGCTCCAAAACAGACGAGCCCTTGATCTCCTGACAGACCAACAGGGGGACTTGTACCTTCGTAGGGGAAGAATGTTGCCACTGTATCAATGACACGGGACACATCCAAAATCGTCTAGACAAAGCACAAAACTCTTTGGTCTCAACTGAAAATCTGGTCATGGCCCCTTCTTATCCCGCTAATATTACTTCTGACTGGAATAGCCACCGCTCCCCTCCTTGTACAACTCATGCGCTTCGTTCACAAAACCGTCCCGGCCATCACTGATAGAGCTTATGCTCAATGCTTTCTCCTCCCTGGCTGTCTGTCTCTTCCTGTGCCAGCTGCCCCATCTCCCCAAACCCCGCCTCTCTCTCTCTCTAGGACGCCCACGCTGCCCCTACACACGTAGGAGGCAGTCTTAGAGAAACTTCACCCCATACCATAAATCAATAAAAACAATGCCGGAATGATGGGCAGGGCAGTGGTTACTGAGCCAGGCCACTCCCGCCGTGATCGCGCTATGTTAACTGCAAGTAGCCGAAAGTCGCCTGCCCGACCTGGACGCCCCTGAACATATCCGGCTTCAGCACAGCAGTGATGTGGATCAGGAACTTTTCATCAACAGCCACCTGGCCTGGCCACAGCGACGATACGGATCAAAGGCTTGGCGTCCTACCCAGAAACAACAAAGACCTGAACAGGGCAGGTGGGAGGGGGCCCGGCTCTACCCCGCTGATAAAAATCCTCACAAAACCCCCTTCTGGGCTGACTCTTCAGATTCAGCCCACTCGCACCCGGGTGAATGAACCAGCCCTGTTGCTCCCACATAGCCTGGGTGTGAGATCTGTCCTTGGGGTCATTCCCCTTTCACCTGGAGCCAGCCATACAAGGACAAAAAGTGGGAAGGTAGCAATTTCTAGAACTCCCCACCCTTTCTCAGAAAATGAATATTCCACCCCCAGCTTAGCATGAAATCGGGGAGCCAACTTAAAAAGGAGAAACTTCGTTACGTTCAGGGTCTCTGCGCGGAGCAGACCCGCTCCTCTCCGGAATGTGCTCTCGCTTTGTGAAGCTGCTTGTGTGTGGATGCGACTGACGGGGCATTCACTTGGTGACGGTACCCATTCTTTGGCACTGGGGACCAGGGACACCGAGACAGACTTGACAAGATGGTTCTGTTACTGCTCTATCGTTTCCGTATCCTCTCGGTGCCCCAGAGGGCTGGCGCTTCTGGAGCCGTCGTGGAAAAAGGGCAGAGGTGTGAAAATGGAAGTTCCTTGGACTGCGTTCTCCATTGTTGCCTATAAAGCCGAAAGATTGTTTTTACGCCTTTGCCTAAAGGGTGTTTTGAGCTCTTCAGTAACAGACCTTTGAATGCTGCTCTCTCTGGGGTTGGGGTTTGTGGAGGGGAGTTGACACTGACTACCTAGCGTCCCATGTGCTCCCCAAGGAGCACTGGTGTTTGAAGCTGCCATGGATGATGGGGAATGGCATTTCTACCAACGGACGAGACAGACGCTTCAGAAAACACAACTTTATTCACTAGGACTGGAAACAGGCTTGCAATCAAAAGACCAGCTTGATAGCTGTAGTGCAAGGTGGGGCGTGCTTGGCGGTCACAGACCTCAGCTGTGGGCCGGCTGGACCTGCTACCCTGGCCTGCAGAGTTGGAAGCTTGGTAGGCAGGCTGGGCTGGCAATCCTAGTTTCCTATTTCAGTGATTTCTCACATGCTAGTCCCAGCATCACAAAGCTACACGTGTCCTCCAAGGTCACACGAGAAGACCCTGTTGATGTTTGGTGAACCGGAGCCTCCTACTGGGTGGACTGGGAGCGGGTGGCTCCCCGGGCGCACAAATGCACAATGTGATTAGTGGTGAAGGCCTCTGTCCCAGGCATGGGCCAAAGTCCTTTCTCTGCCTGAGCTGCTGAGTGCGGGTGAAGACATGGCTTTTCCAAGGGGTTAGGCTTTGAACTCGTGGCGCCAGCCGGTGGCCCAGCCTCATAGCTGGGTGTGCCCAGGAGGGGGCAGCAGAGTGCTGTGGCTCGGTGTGTGCACTTGGTGCCACGCCCCCTCCCATGCAGAGGACCTTGTTGACCTGACGGCCTCGAGGGCAAGGCACTGAGGCCACAGCCAGCGAAGGGAGGCTGTGCACGCGCTGCCCCTGTGAAGCCGGAAGACAGACTGCTGCTGGGGGGAGGAAGCGGTGAGGTTTGGCCCGGGGTCCTAGAAATGGATGTCATGGGGTTGGCCACTGGGTGACAAGGTCAGAAGGGCCTGTAGACCTGTCCAGCCTTCTGAGACAGGGATTGAGTTCAGCCAGGTTCAGGGTCGGCAGCAGGAGTCCCCTCGGCCCTCCCTCTTCACGTAGTCGTGCAGCCGGAAGCGGGGCTCGCCGGGAGCCTTCATGGAGCGCTGCTTCAACTCCCTGCAGAGCAAGGGTGACAAAGCAACATGGCCTCCTGTACCCCAACAAGAAGGTTCCGACCCTGGGCTTGGTCCTTCTGGTGACCGCCAGGACTTACCTTGCGATGCCTGTGAAGGCCAAGTCCACGTTGAGGCCTGTCTTGGCACTGGTCTCCATGAAGGGCAGCCCGTACTCCTGCAAACAGCCGCTGCCAGCCGGGTGGTGGCCTGGCATGGTGGGGACATCCCAGGCTCCACAGTCCCAGGGGCACCCTCCTCGCCACCCACCCTCCCCTGACTCACCTTGGCCAACTTCTCTCCGTCTTCCCTCTTCACCACATGCTCGTGGGCAGAGTCCACCTGGCCCGGGCACAGAGGTCTTGATGCCAGCTGGCCCGTGGCTTGCCACCTGCCCCCCTCACCTCTGCTCTGTGGGCTTGGGGTGGAGAGGACAGAACAGGCCGCCCACCTTGTTGCCCAACAGCATGAGCACCACGTTGTGCTGGGCATACTCCTGGATCTCGGTCAGCCAGGCCTGTGGGGGGAGAGGCTGGTGCCCCTTGCACGCCCTGCCCTGTGCCCCAAAGCCTCTGCCTGTCTCCGGAAGAG